CTGAAGAAAAGTGCTTCCCAGCCTCTTGCTGTCAGTTGCTAAAACAGGATGCAAACATTTAACCGATTTGGGACTTTTTGCTTTTAAAATTAGTATATCTTATCTTCTCCTGCTGGACTTGCAGCCCAGATAGGAAAGCAAAACCAAGCTTTCTTACTTTTGCAACTCTGAATCTGTTTTTTCTCAGCTTTGCGTGACTTAGTCCAAAGAAAGAACCATTCCTAGAAAATTTTAGCCAAAATGAAGCTGAAAGTAACAGTGACAAAAGCTCTTCTGCACTAGGGAAAACAAAAAGATTAGCTTTTAAGGAAAAATTCACCTTAAAGAATGAACTACTTAAAAAGCCTGACCCCTATTTTAAGCTGTTGTCCCCCACTCCTCTGCTACCTGCACACCCCCCTCAGATTTCTGTGTCATCAGAAAGCAGTAGTAATTCATGCAGTTAAGGGAAAATCTTGATTGCAGGTTTTTGGTCTTTTAATTGTTAGAGCAAAGTTCAGATGTTAACTTCATATTTAAATGTAGAAAGAGCTTTTTGAAAGGAAAGAACATAGGCATATGGGTTCAAAAACCAGAATCTGGTTATCTATTTCCGAGTACTGTTTCTCAGCAGTTTATTTTGAGGCTGATCTATTTTTAAACCTAATATTATAGTATTGGAAACAGCTACAAAATCATTTTAGATAAATGACTTGCCAGTTCAGTTGAATTGATTGGCTCTGGAAAGAGATCAGTGTAATCTGAATTAATTAGAAAAGTAAAAGCACATTCAGAGATACAAGATACTTTTGCATTTGGTTCATTTGATAAGGCTGAGACAAAACTACTGAAGACAGACCAAGGAGAAAGGATAAAGCATTTAATGTAAAGATTAAAATAAGTACCATATTGCCTGATATCCACGCAGATCTGGTCCCCTGGAACTGTCACATTTGTCTGAAGAGATTTGATGACTTCGCAAGTTGACCATATGTTATAGAACATAAAGACAGGCACAGCAGAGAAGCCAAAGACCCCAAGCCAGGCCACTCCAAGCACATAGGTGAGGAAAACAAACTGAACAGAGAAAACACATGCACTTCATGTTTATTCTTTGAAAAGAATACTTGATTTTTCCTTAAAAATGCTTCAAAATAATCTTAAGTATACTTTCAAGAAATCAAGTAATAAAACATTTGATTTCCAAGCACAAATAAAATCAGTATTAATTGCTTACAAATACTTGGGTAGTTACAGTGCTACTGAGAAAGTAATTCAGACATTTCCTTTTTCATCAGCCTGCCTGAGTAAACAGCTTGACCTCCTGAAAGAACAGTCCATTAATTTATTAACATTCTCAGCTAAGCAGGGATGCTGGTTGCCAGCTAAAACCAATAAAATTCCAACAAAAATCAATTTAAGGAGTTTTTTTTAATTAACTGTAACATACCAGCATTTCTATACAACTTGAAAATCAAAACAATAGAGTGAATTGACGTTCCTGGAGCTCTCCTGTACTCCCTGATTTATCGAAATAAATTTTGAATGTTACATTTCAGAATACCTGGTTTTGAAAACATACCACAACCGTTACAGCAGATCAGAAAAATTCACTTGATCTAATACACATTGCCAAGAAGAAAATTAGTTACTTCACCTTAGAGAATCATGGACGTTCCATAGAAATTTGCTGGTTTGGGTTTGTTCTTTTTGTCTTTTTTAAAAAAAAAAAAAAATCAAAAAAAAATCTGCATTTTCTTTGGTAAGATTATAAGCTATGGCACTCTTTGCTTTGGGAATTTCCAGCTTCCCCCTCCCATTAGACCTCTCTCCCTTTTCCCTCTTCTTCTAAGTTTTATGGTAAAACAGTAGTTCTTGCATCAGTTCCTAGCTCCCTCCTCTCGGTAAGACTAGGATTTGGATCCTCCTTGGAAAGCGGGGTAGCGCTGTTCCATCTTCTGTGTTCCCTTTTCACTGTTATTTAACTGTGGGTGGACTGGAAGGGCTTTGCTTCCAGTAAAGCACTGCTGCTGTACCGTCTTACTTGAAACTTGTGTGCCGGAGAAGAACAGCAAGGATGGGAAAGGCTCAGAGGGAGGAGGGGTGTCTCAGCCTCACCCAGAACTGACGGGCAGAACTAATGCTGCAGTGGTGGAAGTTTGCGTCCTCGTAGGCTTTTGTCCAGACGCGCTGAACAACACTGCAAACGTTACAGCAAAGGCTGAACAACTGGTTAGGTTTTACAGTCAACGAAGGTGGTGTCTGTGGGGAGGCGGAAGTGCTTGCAAAACTAAGGCCCATAAAAAACCCAGCTAGCCCTTAATTTATACACAACTGAACTGAAATACTCTGTTTCGTATTAGATAGTGCCACACACCAGACCTGTAGGTTTTATGAGAGAATTGAGAAGTCTCTCTTCGGATTTTGGTAAGGACCAAGTGTACTAGTTTAAAGGACTTCTATAGATATGCTATACATAAAGTACGGGTTTGCATACGTGTATGTGGAAGTGTGCATGAGAGGAAGTACGCAAAGCCTTTAACTCCTAAAGCCAGGAAAAAAAACCCCCTCACATTTAAAATGCGATAACTGTGGGAAATGGCTATTCTGCATTACCACAGCCAACACAAATAATTTAGGAAAGCTGGAAGTTTGTCTTCTGTAATAACCTTATGCAAGATGGAAGGGACTGCCCTTCAGGACCTCGCTCAGTAATGTAACAGAGGAGGAAGTAGAGGAGCTCTTGATGAAAGACGCAAAAAAACCCGCTATATGTCCAAAAGCTTGTTATCCGTACCCAGCTGCAGCCACTATCCTGTTAAGATATTATATCTCCTAACAAACCTTGTTCTAACCCTGGTGTTTTAAGCAGCTCTACCCACTACACAGTGGCATACAGGCATTTTTACGCCATGACTGTCACCACTAAACACTGATATGTCTTACCAGAGCTCCAAGCCATTACTCAGCTGCTAAATTTTCTCCTTTATTGTGTGGACAAATATGGGCAAACATGAAAACACATTCGTCTGTTACATTTCCATGTGTCACACTCATATTTGTATAAGCAGCTGACAATCACGTGCCTGCAACAACTCAATCGCACAAAGCAATTGTCTCACTAATGAGATGCACATATGTGTATATTTCTAGTGTATTTTGGATCCTTGGATAACACTGCTTTAGATCTGATTTTCCCCCTCAGCGAAGATCATACTTGCTAGAAAAAGAGCAAGAGAATAGCTGCTTAACTGGAAAATGATCAGATGTCTTATTTTTATTAGCTCTTGAAAAATTCAGCAAGTATCCAACAGCACAGTAGAAAATTGTTAACCCTCTTGAAAATAAACATGCATCTCTCTTGTGTTTAACCAGCTGAAAGTACGTATTTTTTAAGTACACAGGATATAGATTGCATATTAAAATGCAACTATGACATCAAAAGTTGCTTCTCTTTTTCACCCACGCTTTCCTGTGGGCGATCTGTCATAGTGCTTAGCTTCTTCCACAACTATGAGCTCTGAATTCAGATTTTTAGAAATAGCTTTGAAATCCTGTCTCAGAAACACAGTTATATTTCTGTTCTTGTAGAGTCCACCCTAGGGGGCAACGTGGGTGAGAATCTGGAGTTTTATTTTTAGTTAAACTTTGTTTAAAATTTTCTTCTAATACAGAAGTATACTGAAGGGAAAATGGCTTGTAACTTTAAGACTTTAAGTGTTTCAGCTTTGCAAAAAAGACTCACTATTATATCTGTATGCCTTTTGCCATCTGCAAAGGCAAGACAGCAATACTTGATTCAAGCGCAAAGATGTTGCGAAGCTTCATTCATTACTGTTTGTCTGAATGACCCAGACATCCTCAAGCAGAATTGATTACGGAAGTCAGAGGCATTACAGTTTGTTATTTAAATAGCTTTGCAAACCACAGCCATTTTACAGTCTGCCTTTAAGCACCACTAGTGTGCTCCATGTTTAAAAGGATAAATTTCATTTTGTCTCATATTGAGTGTTTTAAAAACAGCAGTCTCTGTCAACTTAGTTTAGACCTTTGGGTTCAGCTTTATGACAGGGGAGGCCACGGTAGCACCCCAACAGTTCATCTGCAGAACTTGGATTTGACCAAGCATCCTTGAAGTTCAAAGAAGGACCAGCAACAGTCATTGACTCTGACCACCCATAAGGAGTTAAACAAAGAGGGCAGCAATATGTTGTTGTTCAAAAACACAGGAGTCACACCAAGCCCAACAGGTTTTAGCGAACAAAGACTACTGTTCCCATTTCTGACGCTACTCACCATTCCACTGATGCAGCGGCCACAGGCTGTCGTCTTGAACTCTCCATGCAGCTCCTTCACAGCACTTGTTGTATAAAAACCTTCTGCCAAAAGGATTATTCCATATAAGAAGAAAAATGATGCAATGCCATAAATTACATACTGCATTAGCTGTATTCTAAAATGAAAAAGGAAAAAAAAAAGAATATAATTAGATTTCAGTACTATAAAAACAAAGTCAGTCCTCCCAAATCATAATAGCTATGAGATAACTCGTTTTCTAGAAATACAGTTGAAGGCTCCTTAATGCATTTTAAGCAAGCAGACTGCAGGACAGCAGCGATATGACTATACCGCTTCTACAGGTAAGCAATACTGATGTGCATTAGTCTTGCATCTGCTCCAGCATCCCCTATTTGTGCTGCAGTTCTTACACTGACTGGTGTTAGCTCGAAGCTGCAATTTCATGCCTCCACTATGGAGATTCTTTTTTTCCTGTTATTGATCCTGATACCTAACTCAGGGAACATCTGACAGGGACAGCACGGGGCTTTGAAATGGCAAAAGCTGGAGCTGAACTACTGGCTGAACTACCAGGCTCTGTGGTGATTCCTTTGGCTTAGGGAAAAGGAAGCAGTCCCTGAAATTCACTGTTCCCACCTGTAAAATCCAGTTAATGTATGTTTGCAAAAATTTGTAAATTCAGTGATACTTCTCTGATACAAAACTCCGAAAATGTGCAGTGACTTCTCCTGAGGCGGAACAGGTTGCTCTACAGCCTAGAAGGGTACTTCCAAGTGTGCAGGGAGTTTCAGTGCCTTAAGCCACTCGGGTGCCTTGAGCTCCCCAAAGCGTAATTAAATTTCAAAAAACTGAAAGAAATATTTAGGATATGCTTCCATTTGAGGTACTCCGGAGCCATCCAGAGGAAGATGATGTCAGGGTACATGGTATAAGCACTTTGCTCAGATATTATCTGAGAAAGTTCTCAATTCCTTAAAAATCCACCATCTGCAATGACACTCTTATGGTATTTTTACTCTGGTTAGAATAGGTAAACGGAAAGAATAATTTCTAAATGTTATCAGTCATATTCAGTATATGAAGCCAATTGTTTTGGAGAGCCAGAATGCCAGATCTTCCATACAGCACTTCTTCTGGTCTCCAAAGGTCATACTTTGTTTCTAGCACAACTTCTCCAGAACTTACGCCTTCTTAACAGTAATTTGTTTGTTGGGATGGTTACTTTGGATGAAGCTGTTCACAAAACTGAGGGGTTAATTTTATACATCTCTATTGCCAGTTTTCTAAGGATAAATATATTTTTCCTCAGATGTTTTTTTTTCAATTCTTACCACTCTCCATTAAGTAGCTACTAGCATAGATCTCCAAGGAGCATCTGCATGTTTTAGCTTAATTTAAAGAAAATTGATGACTACCATTTACATAGTTGAATGTCATCCAGACAGATAGCACATCCCTTGTATCAAAATATGATATTACTCATTTAAAATTATATGTGGGAAATGTTATGTTTGTTTTCTAAACTGATTAAAAACAACAGGATACATCTGTTGCACCTGTGCTGTAAAGCATGAAAAAATTAAGTCAGGATTGGAGAGAATATAGAAGAATTAATTTCAACATCATTAATAGTCTAGGAGAGATTCAATGCATGTTACCAGAAATTAGTAATATGAAACTTGGTTTAAAAAAAAAAATATATATTCCAAAGGGTGCCTTACTAGCATATTTTTCATCTATTTTATTGTCTCCGTGGCCTTAAATTATTTGCACCTTTGCACCTCTTCTCAATTGTCTTTCTTGTTAAGCCTCCACAGAGTCCAAGACCTCAGCTGCTTTGGTGGAATTATGCACTGCCCCAGCTGCTGAAGCTGACTCAACATGAAACATTGTCAACAATTTTCCAAAATTTAAAGCTTGCTGCCTGTTACAGCTGCTTTTGCAATTTTTTCTATTTTGCTGAAAAGAAGACTGATAGAAGAACAGGGTGATTTGCTACTCGGCTGCTGAAGAATAGCTGCTCACAGTTTCTCACGACATTTCGCAGCTAACTGCAGGGTCCTCGTGGCTTCCGCTCTGGAGCTGGGGACGCAGTGCCCAGCGGCAGCTGGGGCGTGAGGGCGAGCGGTGCTGGGGTGGGGGACCCGGGTAGGGTGCAGTCCCAGGGCCATGTAGCAGGTCTGGGCACAAAGGGTCCTGCAATAGGAGGAAGCTCCGAAACGGTGCTGCAGGACTGACGCCAGTGATCCCGGGGACAGGAAGGGGTCAGCTGTGTGTGCAAAGCGGCAGGTCGATGTCCGCAAGCATATAAAGGGAGTCAGTGACGAAAGAAAAGAAAAAGCAAAAAAGGGGAAAGAGCAAAGTTTTCAAATAATGTCCTAAAAGCTGGGCCTTAGGGGCAGGTAAGCAAAACACACGTGCCTTGTTCATCGCCAGCGTACCCCTGTGCGCACAGTGCCCACAAGCGTGCACCACGTGCTCCCCCTCTTCACAGACACGCGCAACCTGCACAGGGACCCCTTCCGTAGCCCTCGGGTGGCTCTCAGAAGGTTTCGGCTGCCCTTCCTCGTGCTAGCCCCCCTGCCCCGGGACGGAGATGTCTCCAGGGGCCGGCCCTACGCTGTGCCTGCAGCCGGTGCTGGCCCAGGGTAAGCAGCCGGCAAGAGGCCGAACCCAGGCCCGGCCAGCATCCTGACACCGGTGCGCGGCCGTTGCGAATCACAACTTGTGCAAAACTCCTCACTGCCGCCGGAGGAAAGCCTTTTCCAAGGCTGGCAGTTCTGCTGGAGGGGCCGCATGAGGCCCAGCGGGTTCAGACCGTCAGCCCGGAGCCTGGGACCCGCGTGTCCCTCAGTGCCAAGGGGAACGAGAGGCTCACGCTGGTGGGGCTGGGCGCTGAGCACCGGCCCTGATGCAGGCCTCCAGCCGCCTCCAGGCCTTCCTCTGGTGTCACGGAGAAGCCTCGGGAACACAAAAGCCCCACATATTTCACAGGTGGTTATTTCCAAAGGCTATGTTTGCCGAGACAAACACCTAAGCAATCTCCAGTCTTTTCTCTCTCTTTTTGCTGATTTGTAAAATCCACAGTCCACTTTCTTCTGAGGGCGGAGGGACGGAACACACTTCCCTGTTACTCCTGTCATCCCTTCAAAGCTTGTGTCACCAACAAACACTAAACCTACCCTCTTTCAGATCAAAACTGTTACCCCTTGTTCTCTCACTACAGGCCCCAGTGAAAAGCATTTCTCCATCTTTCTTATAAGCCCCCTTTAAGCACTGGCAGGCTGCAGTAAGGTCTCCCCGGAGCCTTCTCTTCTCCAGGCTGAACAACCCCAACTCTCTCAGCCTGTCCTCACAGGAGAGCTGTTCCAGCCCTCTGATCATTTTGGTGGCCCTCCTCTGGACCTGCTCCAACAGGTCCATGTCTTTCCTGTGCTGAAGGCTCCAGAGCTGGACGCAGGACTCCAGGTGGGGTCTCACCAGAGCACAGTAGAGGGGCAGAATCACCTCCCTCAACCTGCTGGCCACACTGCTTTGGATGTAGCCCAGGGTACAGTTGGCCTTCTGGGCTATGACTACACATTGCCGGCTCATGTCCAAGTTTTCATCCACCAGTACTGCCAAGTCCTTCCTGGCAGGGCTGCTCTCAATCCCTTCATCCCCCAGCCTGCACTGATACTGGGGGTTGCCCCAACCCAGGTGCAAGACCTTGCACCTGGCCTTGGTGAACCTCATGAGGTTCACACGGGCCCATTCCTCAAGCTTGTCCAGGCCCCTCTGCATGGCATCCCGTCCCTCAGGTGTGTCAACCGCACCACTCAGCTTGATGTCATCTGCAAACCTGCTGAAGGTGCACTCAATCCCACTGTCTATGGCACTGATGAAGCTATTAAATAGTATTGGTTCCAATATAAACAGGTTAGGCAGGATATACACTCTGGTTCTTTGTGCATGAACCCCAAAAAACCACTGAGTGCTGTTGGACAAATAAGCAACCTAATACTCAGGGATGGAGACTGAAGTTGGAATCCATCTCTACTCATTTAGCATGAAGGTGTTATGAGGAATGATGGAAATGGGATGCATACTTACACTTCACTCAGCAAAGCATGGTCACTGGCAGTCGTGGAGAAGTGCTGCTCGAGGATAGACACAGTTCCCGTGAGCGCCACGTGGCCGCAGCCACAAAACAACGCTACCCCCGAGAAGCAGAGAATGGTTGCCACGAGCGAAGCATATGGCACTCCTCCTAGGCACTTAATGCAACATTCAAAGCAACCTAAGCAGAAGAGAGAAAGCAAAAGAAATGTTATGAGCAAAAAGCAAATTATGAGGAAAAGAATATCTGTCCTCCACTTGGTAAAAGTCACAGGGACTAAAAGGTCCAGGCATTGACATGCTAAGCAAAAATCTATAGGTGGTGCAAGACAGCATCACCCTCTAAAGCAGTGACCTACAGATCTGTTGGTATGGACTCAAAGCCCAGAAAGTGGGCTGAGTGCTCCTATCTTTACAGGATCAAGAGGAGATCAATGAGACAGCCTATGAAATGGAAAAAGAAAAAAAATCTCTTGTCTAAAGTCATCCATTGCTATTCAGCTGCTCATACAGAGCTCACCATGTTTCAGCATCACTAACGGCAGGAGCACCAGCTACGCTGGCACCGTTCAGGAAGCCAGAGAAGCAAATACTCAAGACAATGAAGCCTTCTGGAAAATTAAGAGATACTTTGCACTTTCATTGGAAGAGGAACACATTTAGGTATGCAAACCTTAACTACCCTACACTCTCCCATGGCTCCCGAGTATCTTTTTGTATAAATCTGTATGAGGTTATCGGGATACAGATATTTTAACAACAGAAAAATTGAATGGGGGCCAAAGAGTAGCAATTTTCTATAGAGAGCAGTGAGATGAAGCTGTGTTACACAGACAATACATTTCCAGCTTTATAGGATACACTGGATTTACAGTGAGCCCTGAATACAGGCTGCAGTAGGATAATCACAGTTTTAATGAAATGTATCATTTAAGCAGTCTGAGTTAACAAAACAGCCCTCCAGAACTGCCGTTCTACAAACACTGTAATACGGGGGTTGCAGCTGAATTGCCAGGTTCCTCCCAACCGTGTGGCCTAAAAACCCATCTGCTTGCAGAGCTGGGAAATGTAAATCGGAAACAAACACAGCTTTTAACTGCGCTATAACGGTAATGGCAATCCATACCAATTCATTACTTCAGGGTGACGGCATTAAGCTGTCTCCATTAATGTACGTTTCATATAACTGCGCAAAACACAAGCCATTAAGACAACTCTTAATGGAGTGACCAGCGTTGCATATCACAGGAACAACCCGCTGCTTCGACGAGAAGGTGCTAAATGGACAAAGCAGTTGAAGGCAGGGAGACAGCTGGCGAGTACGTACATCACATCACATCTTCCCACCTCAGAAATTCCTCAGAAAGATCAGCAAGTCTCCATCCGCCATGAGGCAAGTTTATTTTTATCCCCCTCCCTTTTCCACTAATGAATGAGTTGCAGAGCAGGCACTTCCATGAAGCACTGGGGAGTAATATGCATCCGATAATTGAAAGCTTTCCCATTTTGTAAGTGGGAAGCTCTTCTTTCAGAGAGTCACTAGCAACTGTCCTAGTCAGGCTTAAGCAGCTATCACCACCGAAATGACTTCTGAAACACCACTTCACTAACTGCAGACAAGATTTAATTGTACAGAAACAAGCCTAGCAAGCTTTTATAGTCAAGCCCACAACTGGAGTCCACTGAGTGGCAACTATCTTCATGACGAAAATACTGCTGAATGAACAAACACGGGAGCTTAGCAGTGATGGGGCAAACAAAATACAAATGCCTGCTATCAGAGGAAATCATCTCTGGTTTTCATCTTATCACAGAGGTCCAGGGACAAGTTCTGGACAAGACCTTACAGAACAATCCTCTGCTTTGGGAAATCAGCCTGAATGCAGCTCACAAGCCACACGCAACAGCAGTCGTACGCACGAGGCTGGCTCGCCTCCGCAGCATCTGCTCCCGGGTCAGGCCCAAACCCCCAACAGTTAATCCAAGAAATGCTTGCACCTGGCACAGGATTAGCAGTGAAGGATTATCCAAGAGTAACCGCGCTCCGATCCAGCGGGCAATGCTCAACACACACATGTGACCGCAGCCCCGCACAAAATGAATGGCCTTTAGGGCCACGCTCTCATAGGAGAAGGTGGCTAAACGCTAGATCATCACCAAGGGTGCGGAGGAGGTTCATTACCTAATCATGGTGATCCACAGACTGCTTTGCAGAAGGGTCCCATCAGAGATAGGAAATAAAAACAGCTGGAAGCCAAGCCAAGGGACTGATGAGGTGCGAAAGAAAAGCTGCTGGTTTCAGAAGATGGGGGCAGCCTGCTTTGACAAAACTCTAAAAATCGGTATAGATCCAGGATTGACAATTAACCCCCACAACTAGGTAGCTGTCCTCCTGGTACCCCACACCGCACAGCTGGCTTGCCAGTCCACCGGCAGAACACTCGTTCTGGAGAGTTTGTCAGATCCCTTACCCAAACACATGGCAATATCTGCTGCTAATCCACAGGCCCTGGAACACAAGCCGACAGTGGCAAACCCCCTGTGGGTTTGGCAGCTTGCGCACAGCTTCTTTGTGGCCATACTCTTTATGTCTTCCTCTGCAGCCCAAGTAAAAAGGCACCACAATATCTGGGTGGCCTTTGTTTTACCAGTGCAGACCACAGCCAAGGGATGCCCTAAAAGGTGTCTAAAGCAACCACACCATTTTGAGTGAGGCAGAGAAAACTGCCCAAATGTGGAACTGCAGAAACTAGTCGCCCTCGCACTAGGACTAAAGCGGGGAGGAGAGGGACTTCAGTTCACAGGGAAATAGCGCGCTGCCAGCTTGCAGGCACAGGAAGCATCCCACACCAGCACACATCCCGGAGACAGCATCCATCCACACATAGCCACTCTGCACCCGGACTGGCAGCAGAGCTGCACAGGCTCCTGCCAGAGGGTAACCAACAACCTCATCACCGTGCTGAGGCTGCCAGACTACCCCTCGGCCCCAGATCCCACTGTGAACACTCTTTATGAGCAGCTTAAATCCACGCCTAGCCTGAGAAATACAGCTGGTTTTATAATTTTGTTTTAAAGCAAGCCTAAAACAGTACTGCCAGGAGCAGCTTTCAAAACCAGCTAAAATTTGAAGCTCATCAAGCACTAAGATACGCTTACCAAGCTTCCCAAACAAGCACTGAAGCAAATCAGAGGACTTCCGAAAAAAAAATGAAAGCTTTCCAGGAAACCTGCTTTATGATTTCTCTCTGTAACCCAAATCAGCAAGTACCTTCACACAGTACAACTGAAAACCCATGATGACGTTTGTCTAGTTCATGCCCACAAAATAACTTGCTAACGCACTGATGACAACTGCAGGCTGAAGGCCTGTGAACTCAAGCTCACAAAAATTAGTAGTAAAATTAGTAGTAAAATAAGTTTAGTTCCAATCTTCTGTGAGTTTTTACTTTCCATATGGCCAACACGCTGAACTTTTCAGCTGCATATCCACTTCCAACACAATGGTATAAAACCATTTAAATATGAAACTGTATAGCACAAACACACATCACTGCATCTCCCCTTTCAATGGCCATTTTGTGCAAGGCATCACTAGAACCTTTTGTGCAACTCAGCAGAATAAAAACATTTTTTGTCCTCAGGCTGGCGAGCAGCAGTTGCCATGGAGGCAGGTTAATAACAGCCCAATGATTTGCCCAGAGCTGCCTGTGATCTTGGCTACAGATTTAACACACTCTCAGAAGGAGGCCAGCTAAAACAAGGACTGAGATTATTCTCTAGGGAATGAATGCTACTAAACACACACACACACGCACACAAATATTCTTGCTAAAGGACAAAAATAAAGAGAAGAGGAAAAAACAGGAACCGGCTATTCTTCTAATCTCCTGGAAACTATCAGTCACAGGAAATTGGTAAAGGATGAACCTACATATGTACACAAATCGGCAATTGGTTGCTTAATGTATGAAGAACCATTATACAACCTACCCAGCAGTGTACAGGCTATTGCATATATGCAGGGGCTTAGCCATTCAATTTCCCATTTCAGATGGCAATTGTGTGGCTAAACCTTCTTTGGTACTTTAAGTACAGCTTTAAGATTTAAACTTGGAAAAGCAAGGTAATGCAGAATTAATGAAAGCAGTCTTAAAAAAAAAAAAAAACAGAAAAAGCAATTCTCAGACTCTAACTTATCCTACTAAGGTCAAGACGGAGTGGAATGACTCTGGACTTGGTGCTTCGGAAATGACAAAAGACAATGCAATGGGATCAGGTAGTTGTCTTGAGTATTGCCAGGGCTTGCTCTAGGAAGTTCACACATCAGCTCTTGAAGCCCTGACTTGAAAAGCTGAGACAGACACATGTTCACAAAGCTGTCCCTCAAAGCGAAGCACGGAAATCGTTATATAACGGAAGAGCATCCACACCTCCTGAACAGAAAACCAGCCTGTCCTCTAATGTCCCTAACTCCTCCTAGGTTGAACTAGTGCCTCAAGTGTATCTCAGGTACAGACCATTGATCCCATAGTCAAGGTCACTATGGAACAAAAAAACAAGGAACAAAGAAAACTTGAAACTAGGTTTGAAAAGCTCTCCATTTCAGGGAGCTAAACCTCCAGGCTCCCATGGCCGTTTTCTGAGTTAGTTCCCACTCTCTTTTCCTTAGAAGTTTCGTTTCTTCCCCTCCCATAAATGTCTTGCTCTTCTGAAAGATGAAAAAAAATGGTGCCCATTGCTTCAACAGTTACTTCCTGTAGTTGTGTAACACATTTTTAGAAATCCTGGCACGTTGGACACCTGTCCAGTTAATACGTGGTAGAAATTACACGGTGTATTCCACCACAGGACCAGGATCTCTGTTGGCTTCAGCACCACTGCTCAGGGAGCACGTGTGGAAGAACTGTTTTAACAAAAAGAAGGTTGCAAGAGACCCAAGGAAAGAAAAAAGCACTAGATAACTTCTTTAAATGCAGCCATCACATGTAAATCAGGGTCATTATTACACATCCAGGGGAGTCTGGTCTTGGGAGCATCACCCCCAATTCACAAATAAATGTAAGAGGAGAACTTAATACTTTACATTCACCTCCAGTTTCCTCAGTGCTGAAGACTACCCAATACCAAGCATGCATAATGCCATCAGAGTCCTAAACCACCACGGATCTTTGTCAGAAA